ATTTTATTTTTATTTTTATTTTTTATTATTTAATTTTTAAATTTATTTGGTACCGGAGATGGAACTCTGGTCCTTGAATTTGTGAGGCAGGCAGTGGAACCACTGAGCTAAATCCCCAGCCCTATTTTTTCTTTATGAATACTTGTTTGTAGTGCATAGTGATCACATTCCTTGTGGGGGAGTTGGTACATGTACATAACACATCTTAGTTCTTTTTTTCATCCCCTTCCTCTCCCTTCCATCTCTTGGTCCCCTTCCCATTTCCAAAAGATCTAGCTCTCTACTGTCTATTATTTAATTTATAATTTAACATCTCTAAAAGGCTCAATTAAAAAGAACATTTAATTTTATTTATTTTTATTTTTAAAGAACATTTTATTTAACACTAGATAGCCCAAATAGTATCAGGTCAGCAGGTAGTCAGGATAAAAAAAAACAATCAGTGAGCTATTTTGCATTCTATTTTTTCTATTAAATCTGGAATCTGATTTTTTTTTTTCCGTACTGGAGATTGAACTCACAACCTTGCGCTTGCGAGCCAGGTGCGGTGCCACTGAGCTAAATCCCCAGCCCAATTTGTATTTTACATATACTGCATGTCTCATTTTGGACTACAGAGTTCCTAACGTTAAATGATTTGGCTTGGGACTTTTTGACTCTGCAGTGGTGTTGAAGCAGTACACATTGAGTAGAAATTGTACTCTGATGTGCAGTAAATTAAGTGTATTAAGTGCATTTTCAACTTGGGGTATCTTCAACTTAGGATAGATTTACTGGGACATGACCCCATTATAAATCAAAGAGCATCTGTGGTCACATTTCAAAGGCATAATAGAAATTTTTAAAATATAAAAAAAATGTAATGGCCGAGTTGGGCATGGTGGCGCACACCTGTAATCTCAGCACTTGGAAGGGTGAGGTAGGAGGGTTGCCATGAATTTTAAGCTAGCCTACATAGTGAGTTCAAGGCCTGAATTAAATAGAGAGGTGCTCTCAAAAAACAAAAAAAACAAACCAACCAAAAAAAGTAATGGCCACATGTGACTCATGGCCACTGCATTGGAGAATGCAAGAATAGACCTTTTCCCAGTCTGGCTAGGAAAAAAGTCTACATGTGAAAGAAGAAAAAACAGATTATTGAATAGGGCTAAAATGTTACTGTGTAACATCTGAGATATTAGTGTAGTCAGTTAATATAAATTTCTAGTTTATTTAAAATGTGGCCACTTAAAATAATCTCACAGATGTTTAAGAATTATTTCTATACCAGGGCTATGATCCTTCTTACTTATTCTGGATTTTAGGGGTGTAATCTTTTATGTCTGGCTTTTAAAAAATGCTTGGGTGGGCCAGGGATTTAGCTCAGTGGTGCTGTCGCTTACCTTGCAAGTACAAGGTCCTGAGTTCGATCCCTGATAGCCCCCCCCCAAAAAGCTTGGGATCAGAAGTGTTTCAGACTTTGTATTTTTTTAGATTCAGAATATTTGCATATTCTTAATAAAGTGTCTTGGGGATGGAACCCAAGTCTAAACATGAAGTTAATTTATGTGTCATATATACCTTAGTACATGTGCCCTGAAGGTAATTTTATCTAATGTATTTAGTGTGCCTGCCTTTTTGTCTGTGATCTGTCACATGAGACGAAGTATGGAATTTTCCACTTGTGGCATCATGTCAGCACTCAGAAAATTTTGGATATTAGATTTTCAGATTAGGGATGATCAGACTATACTACAGTTTTCATGCAATTACAGTCATTTTCTTTCCTTCATTCCTTCCTTTTCCTGTCTTCTATTAAAATACATATGTTTTGATAAAGACAATAAACATTATCTTGCTTGTGTTCATGTGTTCCTGTGTAGAAAGAGTTGATAACAGGGCCTAGGACTAACCAGGACTGCTGACTGCACAGAGGCCTGCTTACAAGGTTGGCCTTTGGGTAGCGTATGGGAATGTAGATCTTAGAAAAGTTCCCACTAGTCCTCACTTTTTTCTCCCTAGGTATCTTTTCTCTTTCCTGATTTTTCTCTGTGTCCTTTCACAGTAATAAATTTTGGCTGTGAGTGTTATATGCTGTGTCTTGTGAATCATCAAACCTGGTGCAGAAGGGATCTTGGGGACTCAATACTTTTCCTGAGTGGTATAGTTCTCATATATATATGTACATATGTATATGGTTTGATAATATCTACAGTTTCACATATCCCCTGGAGCGTCGTGGAATGTATTCCCCCATGAATAAGAGGGGCTACTATGCTTAGAGAACTGGTAAATCTTTGTTTTGGGGTATGACTGGGGAGTGTTTCCAGGTAGATTGATGTGTGAGTCAGTGGACTGAGTGGGGAAGATCCACCTTCAGGGTGGACGGGCAACGTCCAATTGGCTAGAGGCCAGGATAGAACAAAAAAGGAGAACAAAGGATTCCCTGTCTCTCTTGGAGATTCCTCCTGCCCTTGCATTTCAGAAGTCTAGGATCTCCAGCCTTTGAACTTCAGGCCACATTTATACCAGAGGGTCTGTGGATTCTTGGGCCTTCAGCCTCATACTGAGAATTACACCATTGGCTTCCCTGGTTCTGAGGCTTTTGGACTTGGACTGACCCATGCTACCCCATCTCAGCCATGCTCGCATCTCAGGGACTCGAGCTTGCAGACTACTGTCATGAGATAGGGTTCTCAGCCTCCACAAGAGCCAGTTTCCCTAATTAATTCCCTCTCACATATCTATTTCTACATTTACCCTGTTGGTCCTGCCTCCGTGGAGAACTCTGACTGATACACATGGCTAGTGTGCGGTAGGAACACATCCCTGCTCAGGCTGTCTGGCAGCAGGGGCCTGCCTTTTGGTTCTGTGGTATAGAGAGCTGGTCAGCTTTAGGAAGATTACTCACCCTTCAGATCTCGGTTGTTCTCAGGTCATTTCTGGAAGTTACATGAGGAGGCCACATCTAGATGGAACTGTGGCTTCACAGAGAGGGTTTCTCAGCTGTTTGGGCCCTCTCTGGGCAGCCAAATCTTGATAGTGCCTTTCTCTCTTTCTCAACACTTGCACACTGTCACAGAGATTAACTGGGCAATAGCAGCTTGCTCAGTGTTCTCTTTTCTTCCAGGTGTTAATGGAGCCTGTGCCCAAGTGGAGAAATGTCCGTGGCCACAATCCTCTGGTGAGTGGCTTCTTGCGTGAATCTCTAGCTCAGTACTGGTAAAGTGATACCACACGTTATTGTGTTTTTCTTTTAAGACCAAAGATGTTAATATAGAGTTGTTTTTTCTAAACAAAAACCTCAGTGTTCAGGTTTAATTGCGGTGTTGACACTTTGTGAGAAATAAGTGGGTTTTGGGCTGCAGTTTGGCACTTGGTCTCTAGGAGGTTCACTATCACTGGTCTAGTTTCTCCATAAGTGCCTGGGAAGGTGGTGCTGAAACCTGAACCCAAGCCTGTGCAGACATTTTTTTTCTGTTAGTTGAGTTGGAGAAGAATAGGAGGGACAAGCAGAAAATAGTGGTATCTTGGGATTCTGAGGTCACAGATCTCTGAGGTCTGGGCAGGTGTGCAGAGCCAAGGAACTCCTGACGGCTATCTGAAATCATCCCAAGTGGCTATCAGAACCTAGGTCTCTTTAGGAGATTAGGCGGCCTAACCCTCCAGGACCAAACTCTAACCAGGTGTCTTAATTTCTATTCTTATTGATGAAATAAAATACCTGACACCCAAAGTTAAAGAAGAAAGGTTTATTTTGGCTCAGTCTGTAGAGGTTTTAGTTCATAGTTGCCTGACTCCAAGGCAGGGTGGCATGGCAGAGGGTCATCGCAGAGGAGGAAACAGCTCATGGTGGGCAGAAGAAGGAAGGAAGGCAGCAAAGCAGTGAAGTAGCAAGCAGCAAGCCATGGCAGCAGCCTTCTTTCTGTCCTTTATATTCTATGCAGGCCACATGCCTTGAGGGCTGGTAGCACTCACTCCCAGGGTGGGCCTTCCCATTATGCACACTCAGAACTATGCCAAGCCAGTCAGTGGACTAAATAACCACACACCCTTAATTCCAGCATCACACAGTCCCAACATCACACACTCTAGAACCAGCCGCCTCTGAGAAGCCCCACTTATGATTGAATAAAGCTTTAGGGGGACAGCTAGACACAAGCCATAACACCAGGTTCTTGGTGAGCCCTGGATTTTGGGTTGCATTTGGGAATATCCAGTAACTGGCTGCCTCTGGGCTCTCCCTGAAGCCACCTGTCTGTTTCTCAGGGGACACCTAGAAAGCAGGGGCTAGAATGTGCATGTGCCCATATTCCTTTCCTCTTCAGAAGACTGCTCTACTTGCTTGAGATGGATAGAACCTGGTTCCTGCCCAAGAGGGCTTAAGGAAGGGATGTTTATTCTGGGCTTTCAGCCCATTACATAGGAATAACTAGTTTTACTTTTCACTTGGGGAAACTGCAACTTAAATAAATTGTCTAAGGTCATACAGCTGGTATATGACAGATCTAGGTTTTAGCCTTGGACTTGGAAACCTGTGCTGCCCTTCATTTTCAGTAGTGCAGTTGCTCTCTCTTTCTGTGGTTCATTAGACTCAGAGTTCCACTGCAGGCAGGGTTTGTGTCTATTTTATTCACAGTTGTTTGCTTGAACATAGGCTCTTAGAAGGTGCTTGTTCGTTCATTCATTCATTCCACTAATATTGATTCTATACCTTCTCTGTTCCAGATGCTAGGATAGTGAGCAATTCAAAGCTCCTTTTGTCTTGGCCCTAATATTCCAGTATGGGAGGCAGGAAACAGTTAGATGTAGACTATGGTGGGTGGTGATAGGAGCTGTAGAGAAAGCTAAGCAGGTGAAAAGATGTTACTTGAATAGGCAAGCTCTCAGAGTCTTTGAATAAAGAATCCCACAGAGATATAAAAAATATTTCACCCGTGTGCCTGTGGGAGCAGATGGAGTGCCAGTCATCTTTTTTAACGTAAGAAAAAAACATATTCTCTAGAAGCCAGGGAGGAACCAGGGCTTGATTATTAGGTAAGACAACTAGAATTGCACAGGTCAGAGATTGTAGGCACCATATCACTGGACAGAATCACAGCCTCCGAAGCCTGAGTATCCTTGATACGAATAGCATTTATAATAAAAAAAGTATAACAGAATTAGATATTTTTACATTTTCTGGACAGAAAAGCAAGATAGATGTTTTCTGAGATGTGTCAGTCCATTACTCTGTCTGATTGATTCTCTGAAGCATGTCTGTTGCTGCACTCATTTGGCTCTCAACCTTTCTGAGATTTTCTTTCACCTGCATTTAAGAGGGTCTGCAGTTTTCAGTGCAGAGCACTGGGGTGTCTTAAGTTTGTATCAAGAAAACAAAAACAAAAAGGACAGAATAGGATTAGTGAGTGGACTGTGGAGTAGAAGGTATTTTGCATCTACTAGTGATAGTGTTTAGGGTTGTTTAGGGTAGGGGGGACAGATAGGTAGGACTGTCTGATAAGGTAACATTTGAGCAGAGACCAGACAGGGAAGGAGCACTTCAGGCATCTGGAGGAAGTATTCCAGCAGCAGGAATGGCAGATGCAAAGGCCCTGAGGTGGGGCCCTGCTTGGCATATGTGGTTGGAAGCTGGCTAGCTGGAGGGAGAATGGTTGGAGATGAGAGAGGATGGCAGTGAGTCTCAAGGGGCCTGTGGACCATGATGAGGAATTGGGTTGCATTCTGAATGCAATGTGGAGCCCCTGGAAGGTTCTGAGCAGGGTGGGTGACAAGAACCGGTTTAACCCACTCATTTTGGCTGCTCTTAGGGGGCTCAAAGAACCTTTACTGAATGACTCATGCATGGTCTCTGGGGGAACATCCTAGTCTAGCTGTCACTGGGCTGTCCTATAATTGCTTTAGTGCCTCTCTTTGTCCAGTCCTTTTTGAGGGCTCTGCCACCATTCTGGGTTCACCTCTGGCTCCACTCCAGTCCCACGTAGGTTTCTTGAGGTGGCCTTTAGTGACTGATAGAGCAGGGTCCTGCAGATGCCACTTTGCCATAAAATGCTGTGTTCTCCCTTCCACAGGGCCTGATGTACCATGATGCCTGTCGATGGGGCCTCACCCTGCAGACATACGTGCAGCTCACCATGCTGGACCAGCACACTCGTCCTCAGGTATGTTTCAGATACTCAGCTTCAGCTTTGCCAAATAAAACTTTCTTCAAATTAGGGCTTTTGTGATTGCTAGGAGGAAGCCTCACCAGGGCCTTCAGTGCTGCACAGTGTCTCCGTCTGGGGCAAGGTCACCTGTCCTGCAGCTCTCTGGCGACCAGCCTCAGCCAGCCAGGTGGCCACCCTGATACCACCCTGAGCTCACATCTTCATGACCTGACCACAGCTGGGCTGGACAACATTTGACTCAGTTCTTCTCAGACTGTGGTGTGGGCTGGCAGTGACAGCAGCAGTATCCCTGGCAACTTGTTAGAAATGCATATTTTCTGTCCCCACCCCTGAGCTGCTAAATCACATTCTGGAGTTGAGGCTTGATGCGTTTTATCAAGCCATCCAATACACATTTTGGGTGTCTGTGCATTTGAGAACCACTCATCAAACCTTCTTGGCTCTTAGCTCAGATTCTTCAACAATTGTGATTCAGCCTGGGTCCAGTGGTCAGCCCTGGTTCACTCAAGTGTTGGGGCAGAGCTCAGGGCCAACAGCACTGCTCAGGCCCTCCCATCAGTGGGGATGTGACTAGGGACTTTTAGAAGAAGGGTAGCTAGGGAGACCCGACTGACACCCGTGGCTCAAAACTAACCACAACCCAAGACACCAGTGTTAGAGGCTCTTCATGAAAGCTACAGGGCATATCTGTGGCCAGTTAGGTTGGCATAGCCACTGGGCTAGGCATTTTGATCCAGGTCTACAGCACCTGCAGCTTTAGTTACCATTCTGCTCTTAACACAAATCTGTCTTTTACAATCGAAAGAAGTGAGAAGAACCTTTTTGGTGACTGAATTTCTCTCTCCCCAGATATGATACAGATCAGAGGATCTGCAGTTAGTGCTTTTCCCCTTGGCTTATCCCATTTTTTCTGAGTGGGCAGTCAATTGAAAACCTAAATTGTATCTAATAATATCTGAATATAATGGGACCCAGGTGGAAATCTCCTGCTAAGGAGGCAGAGACAGAGAGAGCTAGGAGAATGAAGCGGAAGGAGAGCCAGGGAACGGTAAGCACAGCCACAGAGGCAAAGGATGGAGAGGAAGATGGCGCAGGGAGGTTTGGAGGGACAGGTAAATAAGCATATTATGTGGGAGAATTACCAGTTTGTCCACTTGGTGTTGAGAGAGGGGCCCTACATCCTCCCAAAGGGACACTAGATGAAGGGAAAGGTCATCTGTGGAGGGTGTAGGTACCCTGGCAGAGAGGGCCAGTGTCCTGTCATTGTCCTTGCGGGCGTGACAGGTCCTGCTCAGTTTCTACAGTCAGAGCTCCAGGAATGCCACCCGTACCCCGGCACTCTTGGAGCTCTATCTCTGGCACACAAGCACTCCTCTTAAAGCAAAGTCACCCTATTTAGGTCCTTGATCTCCCCAGTGAGCCTCAGTGGACAAAACTTGTCAGTTTCACCAGGGTGTCCCCACATTCCAGTTGAACCTCACCTCTACTGGGAAAGAGGCCTCTGGATGAACCCTCAGCGCCTTGCTCCTACGCTCTTCCTGCAGCTTCAGGGTAGGGGTTGTCAGGCAGAGGGAGGAGCCCAGGTGAGCCTAGTGTCAGAGTGGTCTTCTGCTCAGGTCCTGCCCACTTTCACCACAGCCTCTTGATTCTTTGTATTCAGCAAAGATGGGGGGATGAAACTGGGGTGTGGGACAGGCCTTTGACCCCCTCCTCTTCATCTGAGTTAGTGAATCACTTTTTGTTTTTCCTTTAGATGTCACCTATACGGCTGATGGAGAGGTCGATTCATAGTGCAAGATACATTTTTGTAGAAAACCTATATAGAAGGTACTGTAGTTTTCACCATTCATAATTTATGTAACCATTCATTTAAAAAAAATGAAGTTAGAACTTGTTTATTTGACAGATACAAGTGCCTGCTCTATGGTATCAGTTATCTGTTACCACTGTAACTCTGGGTAACAGGCAGCCACAAATCTCAGTGACAGTAGCTACCTGCATTTTTTGCCAAGTCAGCTAGGGTAGGTAAGCTCCCTTGCTCTGTGAGATGTCTGGAGTCAGCGGGCTAGGATGATCTTGGCCACACTGACCGGGGCGATGCCACTCTCTTCCTCATGCCCATCACTTTTCTTCTGGGGCCAGCAGATAAGCCTGGGTGTTCACATTTCTGGGAGCCCCAGCCAAGGCCTCAGGCCTCCGCTTCCAGTTTGCGACCATTCCACTGGTCATGTGGTCATAGGAACCCAGGGTTAGGAGGTGGGAGGACCTAGGGGGTTCCATGGCAGAGTGCAAATACAAAAGCAAGAGTGAAGAAATGGGGAGACTGAGCAGTCAGTCCTTGTCAGTCACCCCATTTCACCATCTCTTTCAGCTTTGAGTTAGGGCTGCTTCTGTCACCCTCTGGATGAGCTGGTTCTGATGTCAGTGCGAGGTGCTCCCCTCCCACTGTCTGCAGCTCTTCTTCTCCTCCTCTCTCCCCAACCCCCTTTGAAGATTGGTTGATCTCTTTGCTCTGTTCTATTCTGCGCTTCTCTCATCTCCTCTCTTCCTTCTCTTCTCTCCTGCCTTCCTCTCTCCCTCCCTTCTTCCTTTCTTTTTTACGATGCTAGGGATGGAACTCGGGGCCTCGTATATGCTAGGAGAGTACCTTCCACTGAGCTACATACACCCCCAGCCCAGCCCTCCCTTTGCTGTCCTTTTTTTTTTTTTTTTTTGGTACCAGGGATCGAACTCAGGACCTTGCACTTATGAGGCAGGTGACAGAACCACTGAGCTAAATCCCCGTCCCTCCCTTTGCTGTTCTTAATGATTTTTTTTGGTACCGAGTATTTAACTCAGGACCTTGTGCTTATGAGGTAGGTTTGGTGCCATTGAGCTAAATCCCCAGCCTTGTTCTTAATGATTTTATAGTGGTATTTAAGATAACCACATAAATTATTAAGATTTGGCCAATTTTAACCTGCAAAATGGCAGGTTCAACCTAGTCCATTTTATTTAACTGTTCAATGTTTATGACCTTGTGCTCCTCAAGGACAGGGCCTGCATCTTATTTACTTGCCTAACTTGGACCAGCACAGAGCAGGCTCCTGGTTAGTACATATTCACTAATTACTGGATGTTCTTTGATCTCTAGGACAACTTGTCCCCCAGACCCTAGCCCTCTGTTTCACATGGATTCCTTTGAGTGGGCCACTAAAAAGACTGCTGCCAGTCCTGAGCTGTTGATTGTTTTTGGAATCTGTGTGACTCAAAAACAGAGATCCTTTGCCCCGAATCCTAGGTCCCCAGCAACTCCAAATATCACTCAATGCTGTGGGTCAGGGGCAGGCAGCTAGGGCAAGTTCTGATGGTAGCTTTATTCTCTGACCTCACACCTTTCTGGTAGGCTCTAGTTTGCCCTTCCAGCAAGTGGCATTCCTGCTCCTGAGCCCCCTCCTCCCCCAGCTGTCTGGTTTCCAGTGGGTACAAGGTGTCAGTTGCCAGGTTTATCCATTTCCTTTGAGGACAGGCAGAAGGGAGCTAAGAAAGGACCAGAAGCCCCTGTGATATTTGTATGCTGCTCTGCCAGAAGTAGCCTGAGGGAGAGACTTGGGCAATGGGGTAGGATTTCCTGTGAATCTTGAGTGGCAGGGCTGTCTCTGTCTTCTGATTACCATGAGCTTGGCTGGTTATTTTAGCGGTTCTTGGCTGGTGCTTTAAATAGATTAACTTGGAGTAAAATGATCAGAGAGCAAAAAGTAGAGTTAGGTGGTATCTTAGTCACCTTCTTTGTCACTGGGACACAATACCAAACACCCACAACTGAAAGGAAGAAAGGTTTATTTACTTATTTATTTATTTAACTGTATAGCCTTTTATTGGTACATTTTAGGTATACAATATAATGACATTCATCACTAGAAATTTGCATCTTGACATAATCTCTCTTGGTTCTTATTTTTTCCCCCTTCCCCTGCCCTCCTGTCAACTGCTCCATTCCTCCCTATTTACAGAGACTTTGTTTCCTTTTTTTCATTTTCTCATATTAATTCCATTCCCTTCTTTCCTTTCCCCTACTCCTCCCACTTCCCCTTCCCCTTTGACCCTTTTCTTCCTCTTTCAGATTATCTATTATACCTTTTAGTCCTTATTTACACTTTCAGTTTCTTACACTAGAGAAACTATTCAGTATTTACAGTGTGTCCTATTTATTTCACTGAAGAGTATCGCCTCAATGTACATCCATTTAGGAATAAACATCTCTAATTTCTTGTT